GGCAGCATGTCTGGCCTTGCAGTAATAGGCCTTGGTTTACTGCTGGTAATCCTGCCTTCCCCTTGTAGGGTTAGAGGAGGTCAGAACATGTGGCCTCCTCGCTGTTTTTGCAGAAATATAATCATGATCTCACAGGTTGCTCTAAGGGGATGTGATAATGTACTTAACTGGGAACCCAACCCTAGTTAACTGCATAGTGGCAGTTGACATGTGCTCCCTCCTTTCACCCCTCACTGGCCCCCAGCAATAAAGAAAGACCCACTTTTGTCCTTCTAGGCTTAGTGTCCTCCTGTATCCTGAGTCAGCATGTATTCTTCAGGCTCTGGGATACGAATCTAATTGAAAACTGGTATGGAGAGGAGAAGTTACATCATTCTGATAAAATTCTCGTCAAGCAAAAGGAACCGAAGTTCAGTGACCCAGAAGCACAAACGGTGCTCCAAGGGCCAGAGAAAGAAGGACAGGCTAGTCTCGCCTCTCTTCACCACTTTACAAAGATTGCAATATGAGGGTGTGTGTGCAGTGTCTCAAGGCCCCTGCAAGGTGCAGGCTTGTGGGGGGTTCACATGCAGGACTCTGCCAGCCCCCAGCCCCCACTTTGAGGCATCATGAGGCCCTGTGGGGGACCATCACCAGCTCTCATGACAGCCAGGTAGATATATCTCTCTTTATTTTTGTCAAAGCAAAACTATAAACCACCACTCAAAATATTTGAGGAAAGTGCTCAGTCACAGTTAAAAAGCTTTATGTAATGTGCAGCACAAACTTCACACACTGGGGGTCAGAGGTGCATGTTCCTGACAGGGCTTGGACAGGGTTTGGAAATCTTAGTCTCTCACTCTTTTCTCTTCAGCCTCCATCATACTGTTCTCTTGATGAGGCACTGACAGGAGAGAAAAATGCCGCAACCCAGTCAGCTGCAGAGAGCCAGCGTTGATTCTGCTGAGGATAGCAGCATCCATACGGGAAAGCCATTTCCGTTCTCCACGTGGGCACAGCAAGTGCCCCTCATGCTCATCTCCCCATGAGAGGTCCTACAACATTCACAAAGAAGGCAGGCGGGCCAGGTCCAAGTGCTGACGCTCTCAGAAGGAAGATGGAGAGGCATTCTGGCTCATGGCCAAATCCTCACTCAGAAGGGCTGACTCCTTGCCTGTGGCCTTGTGAGCCGGAGGGTGAAGACACTGATTGCGTGTTATCATCGCTCGTGCTTAATGTTGGCTTCACTTCGCTCCAGTGTGACGCTGCTGCCATTCCGAGAGACCTCCTTCTTGTTCCAGTCCTTTTCGGTATAAAATTCGGCTAGCACGGGGCAATGTTCAGAAGCCACTCCGCCCCAGGACCAGTTGTCTGGAATCCATGGGTTTGTGAGACCTTCTCTCACTACAGCCCAGTGACCTGGAGGAGAGGGGTGAGAGACTCAGAAATCAGAACAGAGGGATGGGGGTTACAACTTGGGAAGAAGAAGTCACCTTATAGGAAGCCTGGGTTCCTGCCTATACCCCTCAGTTCTCTGCCTTGCCTATGCAAATGGAATATCTTGGCCAATTTGATTTTTCTGCATAAATAAGGGTTTACCCATTGTCACTGAAATTACCCCGAATCCGGGACTCCTGCCCATTCAGACGTGCACCCCACATAGGTTGATCTCCTCGTGATTTATGGACTGATTCTAATCTGACCAGCAACTTAAGCATTTGACACAGGGACAGATGCCTCATAAAGATATCGAAAGTTCAAATTTTATATTGCAAAGTAAAAGACACTAAGAAGAGGGAGCAGGAATGCATAGGAAAGAAGGACACAGGGAAGAATTAACCCCGGGAGGAACTGTTACATTGTGGGGAATTGTAGTCAATGTCATGAAATAAAATGTGTATGAACTGATATATGGAAAATGAATCTGCTTTGTACACTTTCCCCTAAATCACAATAAAAATTAAAAATAAAAAAAGACACTAAGAGGAGTGGGGATAATATATTCCTCCTACAAAATAGGTAATAAAGAAATAAGGCTTTATGAGAAGGTACATGCATTTCAAAATAAAGATTTAGAAATATATAAAACAGAAGGTGTATTTGAACAATAACGATTACAAAAATTACAAGACAATTAGAAAGGAATTGTGGTGGTCCTTAGTATAAACAATGTCAAGACCAGTGTAAGATCTGCAGGGAGATGTGAAGGGAGGAGAGGTCTGGGTGCTGCTCTGAGCTTTAGCCCAGGCAGCCCACAGCTTTGTGATGTGGTACCTCCTCCCTGAGCCTCAGGTTCTACAGCTTAACTGGAAGGGGGCAGATGAAATGATCTCTATCTTCCTTCTAGCTCTGCTGTCTTGGGTTCTCCACTCTCTGAGAGTGTATCATTTCCACAGGCGTCCCCCTGGGAACCTGGCAAGCTGTGGGCCGGACTCCTCTCTTGCCCAGTTTGCATTTCTTCAAACCATCTCTTGCCTACTTTGATAATCAAGTCACACCCCTTGAAACCCACTGCCATTACTCTTTGGATTGTCCTGTGATCAAATTCGACAAGAAACTGATGCCCAGAGAGAGGTAGAATTAGCTGGTGCCAAAGCTAGGACTGGAAATCCTAGTCCTAAGGCCCTTGGCCTGGCTGCACACAAGTGGGGCCCAGGCATCAGTACTTCTGTTTTTGAAGCTTCTCATTGGAGTATGATATACTACTGCTTTGTCAAGATTCCACCCAGGGTTGACAAACACTGTCCCTGTCTTTCACCAAAAAACCCTACTATCTCTACCATATTTTTACTTTTCTCCTGACAAAATGTCTGTTCAACAGGTCACCAGTTTTGGGGAAAAGCATGACTATTTTCAGTGCTGAGACGGCACATCACATCCAGGTCATCAGGGAGTTTGTCTAAAGAAATTCTCCATCCTCTGGTGGCTTGTTGCCTAATGCATTGACTGCTAAACAGAAGGTTGTTGGTTCAAACCCACCAGCTGCTCCATGGAAGGAAGAAGGGGCAATCTACTTCCTTAAAGATTTACTGCCTTGCAAACCCACAGGGGGTCACATGAGTTGGGATCAGCTCAATGGTAACGAGTTTGGTTTTTTTTATCATGGCACTATGTGACAGATCCATCCACCTCTACCTGCTGCTCCTGACAGCACTGGCAGCATATCAGTAAACCACATTCCAGAACACAGCATTAGACAGGTAACAGGGCTTGATGAATGTTTATTGAGTAACTACATGTCCTTAAAATTAGAATGAGTCGCCAGCAAGTGAGCACACCTCCCAGTTTGCCTGGGACACACCTAGTTTGTACCTGTTGTAGGTCAGTTAAAAATCCAGTGCCATCGAGTTGATTCCAACTCATAGTGAACCTCAAGGACAGAGTAGAACTGCTCCATAGGGTTTCCAAGGCTGTAAATCTTTATGGAATCGTTCTCCTGCAGAGTGGCTGGTGGGTTTGAACTGCCGACCTTTTGGTTATCAGTCGAGTGCTTTAACCACTACACCGCCAGAACTCCTTGTAGGCCAATTAGTGGTTTTTAATTATTTTTAATAATCCCTTTCTCTGTTAGAATGATAATCATATAGTCATTTGAATGATCATCTTATAAATGCCCATAAAATAGATCACTCCTGACTCCAGCTTAAACCAACCATCTGGGGCCGTGAGTTCAGACAGGTTTCTCGAACTCCATTTCTAAACAGGAGAAGGGCTTTGCTTTACCTGTGAAAAGCTTCTTTAAGCTTTTGCTGATCCAGATGTTGTCCAGAGACTTGGAGCCTTGAGGATTCTTGGTGCTGATGTTGGTGAAGGTGTGGGCGGGGATCAAGTGGTGGAATTTTTCCTTCCTTAAGATGTCATAGTCACTGCTATCTGGCCCTTGACCAAAATCCCCTAAAATAATCACATCTTTTTCTCCTGCAAATGGAACAAAGAAGAGGAATTTAAGAGGTGGTGAGAAGTAAACCCCAATAATGATTAGAGCCTCATGTAAACAGCACCTCAATGATCTGATCTGACGCCTTGGGGATAGGACTATTGGAATGGTTCTCCTTCTCCTAAGTTCCTTGTGCAAAAAAACTCCAGATTATTTTAACTTAAAAATTTAAGAGTAGGTTAATAACACATCATGAAATGGGTGTTACGAGAAATGTGAAGCAGAAATCATTTCAAGCTCATAGGTTCCAAATCTCATAGTAGAAAAAGGCTTAGGGGTCTTGCTCAGATTTTTAACAAAGCTCAACAAACATTTATTAGCACCTGTTAAAGGCTTACCTGTACAAAGGGACTCAGAGATGAATAAAACAAATCTTGCTCTCTAGGAGCTCAAAGTCTAATAGGGAAGACAGACTATAAAACAGACAAGAGTAGAGCATAGGTGCAAAAGCAAAAATATGTACAGAGTATAGCACAGCACAGGGGAAGAGTAGTCATGGAAGGCTTTCTGGAGGAGGCAATTCCTGATCTGGGTCTTGGAGGATGCACAGGAGTTCTCAAGCCAATAAGGAAGAGAGGGAACCCATTTGAGGGCAGAGACTTGTGAAACAGACTGGTTTTGGGGTGGAGGAGGAGCTGTTAAGTAGTTGGGTCCTTTTGGGTATCAGGTACAAAAGAAGCTAGTTGCCAAAGATGAGGCTGGCGATGTCAGCAGCAGCTAATCCTTGAATGAAAGGTGTGCTGAGTCTTCTTGAGATTCAAATGCAGATCAGTGTAGCAGAGTAGGCTGGGTCTTCCTGGTATTCAACGGGCAGCCCATAGCATACATCCACCATGTTGACGTACATAATCTACTTTACCATTCTCTTGCTGTTGGCCATCTTTCAGGTTGTTGTCAATACCCACTTCTCTAAACAATGCTAAAGTGAGTATCTCATTCAAAAATCTGTGTCCCTGCTTTCTTTTTTCTTTTATTTTGTCCAGTAATATTTTATTGTATTTTTGGTGAAAGTTTACACAGTAAATTAAGTTCCTGTCTGGCAATTTCTATACAAGCTGTTCAGGAGCTCTGGTGGTGCAGTGGTTAAGACATTTAGCTGCAAACCAGGTTTGAACCCACCAGCTACTTCACGGGAGAAAGATGAGGCAGTCTGCTTTCGTAAAGATTTATAGCCTTAAAAAGTCAAGGAACCAACTTTGGTTACCAAGGATGGGAGGGGAGGGAAGGGAACACTGCTAGATAGAGACAAGTACTGATTTGGGTGAAGGGAAAGGCAATATACCAAAAGCGAGTGACCAACCCAGTAACACTAAGGAAAAAGAAGACACAGAGTGGTGAACAAGAGATACAGATAATAAAGAAGTACATATACAATACTGCATTATCAGTGATAACAAACTTTAATCTACGGGTAAATAGGTAGATAGATAGGCTGACTGATTAAGTATGTCTAGGCAAAAGGGAATATACCCATTACCATATATAAGGATGACAGATGATATTTCTATATATGTATTTGTATGTGCTATCAGAATGTCCATATATGTAATAGAGCTAATAAGGGGCAAAGTTAAGATAATTTCTTAGCCACAGCCAACTACCCTGAGAAAGTGAGTAGTTAGACCTGTGGGCTTGAGACCATGGTCACAGAGGCCATCAAGCTCAATTGGCATAACATACTACACAAAAACATTGTTCCACATCCTACTTTGGTGAGTAGCGACTGGGATCTTAAAACCTTGCTAGAAGCCATCTAGATGCAACAATGGTTCTCTCCTCGTCCAGAGCAAAGAAGAATGAAGAAAACCAAAGACAAATGCAAAAAATTAGTCCAGGGGACTAGATGCCCATGTGAACCTCAGCCTATATGACGACAGACCAGAAAAAAGATGGTGCCTGGCTACCACTGTCCACCACTCAGAGGGGGATTGGTGCAAGAGACCTGGATAGAGTGGGAGAACAATATGGAACAAAACTCAAAATCATAAAAAAGACCAGGTTTACTGGTCTGATAGAGCCTGGTGAGACCCTGAGACTATGGCCCCTAGTTATCCTTCAGGTCTGGAACTGAACTCCCTCCCATGGCATACAGGGTAAACACTAACATCAAGTAAATACTCTCCTTAGAATGATCAATCAGGGGAGAACAGAAGGGCAGTTATTTGCACAGGGAGATAGCTCAGAAGGCAGGAATGCATAGGAAAGAAGGACACAGTGAGGAAGCGAGAAGAGAGCTGTTACATTGTGGGGAACTGCAGTTAACATCATGAAACAAAATGTGTATGATCTGCTGTAAGGAAAATGAATTTGCTCTGTAAACTTACACCCACATCACAAAAAAAAAAAAAAAAAAAAAAAAGGTTTACAGGCTTGGAAACCCTATGGGGCAGTTCTATTCTGTCCTATAGGGTCACTATGAATTGGAATCGACTTGATGGCAGTAGGTTGTTTTGTTTTGTTTTGTTTTTTTTAATATACAAACTGTTCAGTAACGTTACTTACATTTTCCACAATGTACGAACACTTCCGTTAGTTGCATTCTGGTTGTTCTGTTTCCAATGATCTAGTTTCCCTTCCCCCTTATCTTCTCATCTTTGCTTTAAACTAATTGTTGACTCTTTGGTCTCATATACATGGTATTTTAATGGCACATTCATTGTATTTATGGATAATATCCTTCATTTTATGTGCCAATTTGTTACTTCACTAAAACTTGAGCTCAGTGGATAGTTTTGGTACAAGCTTTAAAGAGTACCTCAAGGTTCAAAGATAGTCTCAGGGAGTCCTCCAGTCCCAACTGGTCCAGTAAGTCTGGTCTTTTGAAGAATTTGAGTTCAATTCCCCATTTTCCTATTATTCTATTGGGATCCATCTATTCTGGACATGATCAGAACAGTCAGCAGTGGTAGCCAGGCACCATTTAGTTCTTCTGGTCTCAGGGTAGATAAAGCTGTGGCTTGTGTGAGCTATTAGTCCTGTAGGCTCGTTTTTTTCTCTGAAAGTTTGGTTTCTTTCTTTCTCTTCTGCCCCTGATGATCAGAGACCAACTGTATCTTAGATAGCTGCTCACAAGCTTTAAGATGCAGATGCTTCTCACCTCATAAGGACATGAACATGAAATATATTATGCCAACTGACTAAGCTGTCCCATGAGATTAAGGTCCTAAGCCTTCAACCTTAGAAAGCCAATCTCACAAGGTGTTTGTATGTCTGAGAAGTATCTATAATTTTGTCTTCTATGAATGTATGTGCCTGCACACATATCTATACTTACACATACATAGATATTTCTATCTGTGTACACATATGTATGTAAATTAGACCTTAATCTCATGGGACAACTCAGTCAACTGGCAAACATATATATGCCTATACAAAAAAAAAAAAAGAAAAGAAACCCAAACCCACTGCCGTCAAGTTGAATCAGATTGTGACCCCTCCTTGGGTTTCCGAGGTGGTATCGCTACGGAAGTAGATTGCCCAGTCTTTCTTCCGAGGAGTGGCTGGTGGGTTTGAACTGCCAGCCTTCTGGTGAGCAGTCAAGGGCCTTAGGCACTATGCCACCAGAGCTCACATATATATGTGGCCATGCACTCGTTTTTGGTTATTGTTGGTGATGTTGCCAATAGTACACGTCATATTCTTTAGAACAAACATCTTTTTCTCTTGTGCCCTTCTTAGTGACATCCTTTACTTTGGTCAAGCTATGCTCTGTGTACCTGCTTTATTTTTGCCCTTAGTACAGAGCCTCAGTTCACAAGGGTGGTCATTGCTAAGGTTCTTGATACATACTGTCAATGTATTTTTTTTCTTTTTTTTTTTATTGTGATTTGAGTGAAAATTTACAGAGCAAATTCACTTTCCACACAGCAGTTCACATACACTTTGTCTCATGACACTGACTACAATTTACCCCAATGCAACAACTCCCCTCCCACTTCCTCCCAATAGTTACCTCTTCCCTGTGTCCATCCCTCTATGCACTCCTGCCCCCTGAGCTGTCTCCCTGTGCATAAACAGCCCTTCTTTCTCCAATGATTGTTCTCTCCAAGGAGAGTATCTACCTA